TTTTCTTTTCCACTTTCTCATATCTTCTAAATTTATTCAAAAGGCCCAAGCAAGTATCTGCTAATATCTAACTAAATAAAAGCTACTAGAAAGCCAGTAAGTGCTGTTAAGTCAATTTTTCTTTGCCTTTACTCTCAAGCGGCCAACTTGTCACTTTGTTGACAGCTATCAGAGCATTTCATGCTGCATTGAAAACCCATCAAAAATTTCTAAATCATCAGCTCATCAGCACAAAATGGGGCTTCAGGAATCTCTTTCTTTCAGTGTCCCAACTGTGCTTTTTAAGTGTCCCAACCTTGATGAACCACTCTGAAACAATAGATAAAAAATACAGGAAAATGAGATATGAATGTTAATTAGTCCATTTTGAATGAGTGAAACATAGATGAAGGCCAAGTATAATGGGGCAAAAAGCTGGGATTTTCTATGTCAGAAGAAGAATATTGCATGACTTTGCTAACTGTTCACAGGTCACTGAATGTCAGAGCTCCAAGGGTACTCATCTAATCAGATCATCTAGTCAGACCCCTACATTTTACCAATAAGGGTAAAAGAGGCCAAAAGAGGAGAAAGGGATTTGTCTAAGGTCAATCAGCCCTCCAAACTTTCTAGACACCATCTGGCTTTTGATTACATGATCTTTATGCAATCAATGTTCAATTACTTGGGCCACTCACTGCTAGTTTAGTGATCACTTGTACAACCCAAAGTGACACAGAAGTTAACCATCATTTACACTGGGCTTTGTGATGTATATTTACACTGACATTCCAATGCATCTGGGCCCAATCTGAGAATTCATAACACTTCTAATGAAACAAGAAAGCCACCCTGAAGGTCTGATTCAAGAAAAACTGGAAAGTTGACCAGCCTTACTGAATGGATAGCATAAAATGATACTATATAGTCCCTCAAGCAGGGCATGTTTTTCTCAATGTTTGTTGATTCACACCTTTCCTGGGGCCCAGCCAGAGTTATGAGTGTAGTGGTTGGACAGGGAAAACAAAACTTTTCAGAGAAGAATATACAGGGTGAAGCAAAAATAGGTTTACAGTTATTTGTATGGAAAATGATACAATTAATAAATAATATACAAGAATAAACTCTGTTTCACATACTCAAACTGTAAACCTACTTTTACCCCCTTTTATATATCTTTTACCCTCATTCTCTCCTTCCCTTC